AAAATAGCGTAATTTAGTTTTTGTAAAATAAAATATTTTGTTTCAATTGCATTTTTCTTTAAATCCGTCCATTAAAATATATTTAAAAATCAATTCTTGGATTTTAATGAAAAAACAAAAACCTACTATTGGAAAACCAAACATTTGTATATATTGGCTTCAAATAAATCGTATGTTGCCCATTTTTTATTTAACTGAGTACCTAGCTGACGATAGGTATATTAATTTAATAAAACTAAATGTAACGACATTTACTGCCAATATTTTTTGTTTCAAAGCCCACTGAACTATACAAAAATTTCCAATCTCTTATTCATAAACTTTGACCTTTAATTATATAATATAGAAGAAGAACAGAGCTAATTAACATGTGAATAAAATAAAAAAATATTTTATAATTTTTTTTACATTCTGATAACTGGAATACTTAATTAACTAAAAAACGAAAAATGCAATAATTTTTACGGTTATGTACTAGCTGGACTAGAAAATATAACATTTCAACTGGATTTTACGGATTTCTAGTCATGATTTTTTTGGTTTACGGTTTTGTTACTCGCGGCGTCTAATTTAGTGATTTTTAGTGATACCGCGAGACAAGACGAGACGAGAGAGTGGCCTCTCACGTCTCGTCTCGTAGGGCGAGAGAAAACTGTTCTCTGGTCTCGACGAGAAAGCGCTTCTCTCGCTCTAGAGAGCCTTTCTCTCGTCTTGTCTCGTCTTGTTTCTCTCGTGATAAAACAATATCAAATTTAAATTTGAAAAAGTAATTTGCGCATTAGTACCCAAATTTGGCAATAAGAAACAGTTATGTCTCTCTATCTGTCTGTCTGTCACAGTCGTTTTACAATTGAAATTTGAAGTAATAAGTGGCATTTATTAGGCGTTAACTAAAACCGAAAATACTTTGTCTTGTAAGTCAGTTGGGGAGGGGGGGAAGAGGTTAAATTGAAAGTTATAATTTTTCTAATGCAATCCTGCGATGTCAAATGAAAGCATTTTGTAGTATGTTTTCAAAATGCAAGAAAATAGAGACATAAAACAAAAACGATGTGAACTTAGAGAAACATGATATTTTTGTTATAATGAGATGCACTTTACTTAAGACGTAAAATAGAGGGCGTTACTATCTTTAAATTTTCTAATGGAAAGTAAAGTCATGTAATACCTCATTTGAAATATATTTTGATTATATTTACGTCCACGCAATCAGTTTTAATGTTTTTTGTTTTTACAAAAATTACATTCTTGATAATCCTCGTGTGCCGCAATAATCCTAGAAATGTTAGATAATGTTAGAAGAGAATTTTTTAATAAGCTGATTTTGCCAAGAAGTTATGAAAAATTTAATACGTCAAGTGGTTTTTAAATCACCTTTGATATTCTTAATTTATTTATTTTAGTAAATACAAGAAGCGTTTCCTTAGTAATAAACAATAATTGTTAATATGAGAGTTATCAAGAATGTAACATATTAGTAAAGGCCCAGAACATGTCTGTATAAGAACAAAGTACCAGCTACAAAAAACTGCCATTTGTGCAGTGTTACATCCCTCTAACAGTAAAAAATTACTTAAATTTATAAAAGATACTGACATTTACTCTGTACTAGCCAAAATGTTAATTATCCATTTTATACAGCATTTATAAGTTATTATACCTCCGGTAATGATCCTTTGAGGTTGAAGCGGTAAATAAAAAAGAATTTAACTTACCTTATGAATTTATTTAATGTAATATCTCTAAAAACATAAAAACCTAAATCTGTTTACATGAACGTAAAAATATAGAAAATATCTTTCAAATGAGGTATCACATGACCCTACTTTTCATTAGAACATTTAAAGCTAGTAACTCCCTCTATCTTACGTGTCCCAAGTAAAGTACATCTCGTTATAACAAAAAAATAATATCTCTTGAGTTTTACCTCGTTTTTGTTTTGTCATTATCTTTTTTCCTTTAGAAGTTAAAATAGTAAAGGGTACAATTTTCGTCCTCACTGTATCCAATACAGGAGGTTCAGTTAGCTTCAATTCTTTTTTTTGATGGCCTTGAGATGACCCTTCCTTGTTATCAGAAAATGAACGAAAATGCGTCATTTCCTCTTCTCTCGTCAATATCTCAGGAAGCAATGGCCGCTCAGAAAATAAAAGGGGGATTTCGGAAACTTCGATTCTTTCTTTACAAGGTTCTGGCATGTTCTTTCACGACAAAATTTTTTTTTCATCCCTAGCATGTCTTTGAAGAATTTCGGAAAACAGGTCTTTTTGAGGTTTTTTAGAAAAACACGTGCCACATTAAGAATATTGGGAAAATGACTAATGTTGAGTATGCATCCCTACAAAATTTCAACCTGATCCATCAAGCCGTTTCATTGTTTCATGCGAGTGAATTTTTGAAGAAATTGAAGGATCGCGTTTTATCTATCCATGATATTCATCAGGATTTTGTGCTAATTGTTGGTTGGAATTTTTTTATTGCAATATCCATAAACTAGACACTTCAAGCTTCAAACTGCTTTTTTTTTTCATTCACGTACGACCATTTTTACCAAAGATACAGCCACTCGAAAAATCGCAAAAAACGAGATTTTTTTTTGATCCCTTAATTTTTTCCAATAGTTTACATTCGTCTGTATTGCCTTTTCTTTGACAGCTTTTCGAAAAAACGCTTAAAAATTTTCAACTTATCTTCAAAAGTAACCTCAGAAAGGCAGAATGGGTTAAATATAAGAAATGATTGTATAAATTTTAAATAAATGAAATGAGAAATATTTTTTCTTATAAATCACTATTTATAAAAACCTAATAACACAAGTATCATTTGTAACCATTTAATATATATAGAATAGGTGTGTAATAGTTAAATTTTAAGTTACGATTGCAATTGAAAATTTCAAATAAGAGAAAATTGTTCGAGAGAGCCCGAGAGAGCTCGAGAGAAACGAGAAATTCTCGTCGAGAGATGACACTCTTGCGTCTCGTCTCGAATCTGTTTTCGAGAGAAATTGTCTCTCTCGTCTAGTTTGAGACGAGACGAGACAAGACGAGACGAGAGACGAGAATCTCTCATCTCGCGGCATCACTAATGACATTTATCTTTTCTTTATTTCTTTAGTTTTTATTAAAATGCACATGATAGTTGTGTAAAAAAAAATGAAAAATTAGTCATTTGTAAACCAGACCTAAACACATTTTAAATCCAATAAAAAAAAATAATTAGTAAAATCACAGTGAAAAACCATAAATATTGTCACAAAAATAATACCAGTATTCAAAATATTTCGCAAGGGTTTAAAAATACCTAACTCATAATTTCATATATGACTAATATTTGAAATATGTGATGTATAAGTACCAAAGAAAAAACCCTTTTATTTCTTGAGATAATTATTTATTAGGAATTTAAATAAATTAATAAGAAATATTATTTTTCCAAATACGAATAAAAGTGTAAAAAAAATATATTTTTCTAATTTTGACACATAAAGTGAAATTTGTTGTAATAGCAGTAATTGTCAAAATGATCTATATTACGCAACCAGTTGCATAATGTTAAACATTATGAAACTGGTTCCAAAAAATTTTTGATTTTAAAATCAATAAATGTAATCTTATTGAGAGTTTATATTAAAGAAGAGCAGGTTGACTTATAAAAATAGAATTTGGTCAAACTTACAAGTTGTAAGTAACAACCTACTAATAATGTTGCTTTGGTTATAATTTTCCATTCTAGGTTAGCACAAAATAATTAAAACACAATACACGGCAAAATCACTTTTTTAAAAACTAAAAACCTTTAATAAGCAATATAAACACACTACAAGTCATTGAGAATAAATAATTGGTATGATGTTCTCTTTATGAAAAAAAAAAAAAAATAATGCATATGCAACTAATAACAATACAAAAAAGTAATATTGGTTGCCAAGATGTCAGTAATTCTAGTCAAAACTAGAAAAAATATTGTATATAACATGTTATGAAATGCCGTTTTATGTAGCTCGTTGATGTTGCGGGACCTCGCTCTGCTCGTCCCGCAAATATTTACTCGTTACATAAAATAAGGCATTTCGTAACAGGTTTCATAAATAACTATTTAAAAACTGCTAAATTTTTGTGTCGAAATATCTAACCTACTGTAAATTGTCGAAAATTTGGTTTTAGATTAGAAAAAACCGACATATTTCAGGTACGATTTTACTTGATATATTATGGAATTATGGCTAAACACATTTTAATGCAAAATTTCAACGTTTCAAAAATAAATCCCGTTTGGATCTAGTTAGCAATCCGAAACTGAGTAAATAATGGAACCATTTACGTCAACCGTTCGTTTTGATGTTTTGAATAGAAAATAGAATGTTTTGTTTATTTTGAAACCAAATACATCACTTACAAATTCATCAAGTCAAGTCAAGAATGAATGAATGGAAACAATAAAAGCCTCATTAAGTAAAAATAAATCTAGATTAGTCCTACTCAAAGCAAGTAAGAAATTAAATCAATGTTGACAGAAATGGTTAGCTTATAAATATCTATATTTAGTTTCATGGAGATTTTTAGAAGTCTAAAATTTAAAAGTTAAAAGTTTTTGGGGCAAATTAACCTTATTTACTAGATGAATTAGAAAAGTGTTTTTCACTTAGAACACGTGCCACTATTGTACGAGGTCTGACAATTAAGTAATGTGATTGATTTTTTGCCGCGCATATGGCAAAACTGTGAATCTGAAACATCGGGTGGTTATTCTCCTATTTTTCCTCTATGTGTTTGCGACTCTCGTTATTATTTAAGTGTATCACACCTACAGAAATTCTAACTTATGTACATTTCTCTCTTAAACATTTCCTCTTTAAAAGCTGTGAAATTTCAAAAATGTAATATCTTTAACTGCAACCAAAATTAAAATCTGACCGATTACCTTTTACATTCATGCGTCATGTAAAATTTTTTAACAAATCCTAATAATACTAATTTTAAAATTATGACTGATTTTAGATCAAAACACTCCAGAACAAACCGAATCGATTAATCTCTTCTCTGCAGTTGAAGATCACGATGAATCCCTATTCGAAACATACGATCCCGGTGAAGAATATTCTTTTTTCGATATACAAGATGATATTAGTCCAACTGATACACCTGTCGATAAAGTAACTGTTACCTTGCCAAAAAGCTTCATTGCAGAAGATAAAACTAATAACACTGCTCGTACTGCTTTAAAGTTTAATGATAGTACAGCTGAAACTGAAGTAGACAATATTGAAACAACTGGTTTGGCTAATCCGGAAGAAATGGACCACATGCAAGAATATATTAATAAAAGGACTGGATTATCATTACATGAAACTGAACCTGTCACTGTTGATCCAAACCATTGGTTTGAAGTTGATACTGATGAAAAGACTGAAGAAAATAAAAAAGAAATAGAAAAAACTAAGAAAAATAAAGAAGATCTTGGTAATAAACCTGAAATAATCACTGTTAATCCAAATCATTGGTTTGATGTTGATACTGATGAAAAGACTGAAGAAAATGAAAACGGAAAAGAAGAAATTGAGAAACATGAAGAAGAAGAACATAGTAATGTAAAAACAAATACACGAAACTTTAATTTATCGACAGCCACTGAGAAGAGCAAAGAGACAGAATTAATTAATGAGAAGAACTCTAACTCTACAGTTATTAAACAAGAAAAGAAAGATAAGGAAAATATTGATCTGGAAGTAGAAATTAAGAATAAATATAATAAAAATGTTACTGATAATATTAATAAAAATCATCCTAAAATTGAGGAATCTTTTAGAGAAACCAACATCTCAAATACAAACAATATTAATACCAAAGAAATAGAATCTGTTGGAAAAGATAAAAGCAGAAACACAACTAAAGAAAATATTAGTAAAGATGTAATAAAAGATAGTCAATATGATAAAATTACAAAAACAGTTCAAGTATCAAATATAACTAGTTCTACCAATACAAAAATGCCAATACATAATAACGTTACTAATACTAACAAAGAAAATATTACTATAAGCAAGCATCTCGATAAAGATAATAAGACAGAAAAATCCGTGCTAAGCAATGAAAAAATGTCTCAGAAATCTAACACTTCAAATGAAATGAACGTTAATAAGAAAGTAACAGAAGCTTATAAAAAGCCTGAAAGTGAAAACTCAACTATAGAAAATTCTAACAAAAATATATTAAAAGAATTTCAACATGACAATATTACAGACATAGCTCCATTGGTATATGTATCTCATGTAATAAAAGAAAATGTAACTGCAATAAATCATTTTGGTAAAGATAATGAGACAGAAAAATCTGTACTAAGCAATGAAAAAATTTCTCAGAAATCTAACACATCAAATGAAAACAATGTTATTCAAACAGTATTAGAAGATTATAAAAAGAATAAAAGTGAAAACTCAACTGTAGACAACTCTAACAAAAATAAATTGATTGAATCTCAACATAAAAATATTAAAGAAACGGTTCCAATTGGAAATGTATCACACATAGTAAAAGATACACAATTTGATAAAATTACAATAACAGTTCCAGCTGCAAATATAACCAGTTCTAGCAATACAAAAATACCAATAAATAATGAAGTTACAAATTTAAACAAAGAAAATACAACTATGAGCAACAATAATGATGAAGATAATACCACAGAAAAAACTGTGCTAAACAACGAAAATATTTTTCAGGTATCTAATACATCAAATGAAAAGAACGTTAATAAAAAAGTAGCAGAAGATTATAAAAAGCCTAAAAATGAAAACTCTACTACAAACAACTCTAACAAAGAAAAATTAAGTGAATTTCAAAATGATAATATTAAAGAAACAATTCCAGTTAGAAATGTATCTGGTGATATAAATAAAGATGAAAAAAATATTATCAATACAACTACAGACAGTGATCTTCACAAAAGTAATGAAACAAAAGATGTTATGACTATTAATAAAGAGTTTTCTGAAGAATCTAATGAACCAAAAGAAAATGATATTCAAAATAAAGAAACAGAAAATGTTAAAAAATATAATAATGAATATACAACAACTATAGAAAATTCAGATGAACAGAAATTAAAAAAACAAACTACAAAAATATATTCAGTTGCAAATGGAACTAATACGTCTAATGAAAAATATGTTGAAAAAAATAAAATAAATACAACAACAGACAACGGTCTTCACAAAGGAAATAGTACAGAAGAAGTTGTGACAAATAGTGAAGATTTTTCAGAAAATTCTAATGAACCAATGGGAAATAATACTCAAAGTAAAGAAACAGAAAATGTTAAAATGACAAACACATCTTCAGTTTCAAATGGAACTGATACGTCCAATGAAAAACATGATGTAAAAATTAATAAAACAGAAGAAGCTATGACAGATAGTAAAGATTTTTCTGAGGAATATAAAAAACCAAAGTATAATATTAATAATATCGACATAGAAGATGTTAAAAAATATCAAATTGAAAACACTACTATCAAATTCGATAAACTTAAAGAAATAGCTCCATCTGAAAATTCGTCTGATACTACTAAAAAAGAAATGGTTAACTATATTGAAAATATTACAAGTAATTATACACCAACTACAAACAGCTCTATGAACGATAATAATAAAAAGATTGAATCAAATTTGTCAAATGAAAAGTTAGAACTGAATTCAACTGGAATAATTCCAAGTAATCATAAAGAAATGAAACAAAATAAAACAGAAATTAATAAAAATAAAATTATTGGTGATAAAAGTACTGCTACTACTAATGACGATAATAAAGAAGCCAAAACCGACAAAATTAAATCCAATACTAACGAAGAAAGTCCTAAACAAAATACAACTATGAAAGTTCCAAAAATTGACAATTCTAAAAATTCAGAAAAAACTGAGCCAAAAGATGACATGTTAAGCCTGAATACAGAAAATATTGCATTGACAAATGAAAATTCAACTAGAGATAGTAGCTCTATTACAAAGAATGTATCTACAAATAATACTATTGAAAATGTTCAAAATGTCAATAATAATATGTTCAGTAGTGAAAATATTACTGTTTCTTTTAAAGAAGATAACATCACAACTACTGATACAGACACAATTGAAGATCTGGATGAGGAAGATGACTCCAAATCAAATGAATTGAAAAATATTGTTTTGGAAAGCAATCCTACTGAAAATACTAGTAAATCTGAAGAACATAATTCTGTAGAAAGTCATATTTTCAAAATACCGCCAAGAAGTACTGCTAAACCAGAAACTGAAATAGAAGATAATCATATGGTCAATACCAATACGTCTGTACTAAATAAAGATAAAGGTTCTATTGCAAACAATATAAGTACAGATAATAATACTGATAACAATTACGAAATTAATGAAGAAACTACGCAAAATGTTGACAATTTATTCATAGATATTTTCGATACTGATGATGACGGTATTATCGAAATTGATAAGTCAGATACAACTACACAAAAAATGAGTGAAGAGGTAAAAGAAGACGTTTCTAAACCTACTGAAACTAATAATGAATCTGAGGAGAGCATGGAAAATAATTCTATGGAAAGTAACATTTTCAAAATACCGCCCAGAAGTACCCCAAAAGCTGAAATTGAAATCAAAGAAAATGAAATAGTTGACAGTAGTTGGCCTGTCATTTCTGGAAATATTTTAGGGAAAAAAACCAAAGTCAATGTTAAACTAAAAATTAAGGTAAGAAAAAAAAATATTTTATAATTTGAAGCTGGTCTGAATATTTGGCTTACAGAGCGAGTATTTATTGGAACACTGTATATATTCTTCTCTAATAACTTTATGTATTGTATGACATTGAGCAATTTATAATAATAATAATAATAATAATAATAATAATAATAATAATAATAATAATAATAATAATAATAATAATAATAATAATAATAATAATAATAATAATAATAATAATAATAATAATAATAATAATAATAATAATAATAATAATAATAATAATAATAATAATAATAATAATAATAATAATAATAATAATAATAATAATAATAATAATAATAATAATAATAATAATAATAATAATAATAATTTAAAAAGGACGAGGCACGGTTTATACGGAGTTATGACCTGCTGTAAATTTTTACCATATTTTGATATTTTAAAGTAACTATCGCTTGAGTGAAAATTATGTGATATTATGAGGATCGTATTTCTGTGATAGAAGATACAGCCGCTGGAAAAACGTAAGTCCGCCATAGCACCCAAGAAAATTACTGCTCATAACTAGAAAAGTACTCGACAGTTTTTAACGATTATGATGTCGTATTCTAGGTAATTAAAAAAAAACAATGTATTTATTACTATACAGGGTGTTATATTTCTTTATTTGCGTGAATTAAAAAAAAAATTTATGGTTGAAATATTTTTGTATTTGGTATTACCTGGTTAATTATAGACGTGTAGTTTATTATATAAGGGTAAAAAAGTGCTCCTTGATATAAGCTGTTGTTTATAGAAAAGTAGAAGTTAAGCTAGTGCTTTAAAATTTTTTAGTGACAAAATAATATAGTTTCTTTATGATTATTATTTTTATTCTACATATCATAGTTACATAGGTCAAAATATCTCAACCAAGTTCTTTCAATACTGACCTACATTAAAATAATACTCTAAACAGTTTTTAGTTTAAAATCTTTTTATTACATATGCTGCGTTTGAAAACTACCTCGTTTTGCTCTTTTTACTCGAAGCTACATCTGCGGCTTCTCGATGGGATCTACTCCGTGGTCTTTTAATGCAGAGCTTTCGGAGTAAATGCAATTTCTGTGACAGCTGACAAAGTAGATGTACTTTTCTGAGATGTACAGGCATCGTTCATTGTCTCTTGTGTTGCAGTTTATTCTTTTTCATATGCGTTTGGTTATTAAAAAAAAAATATTTATAAAAAATGTCAGACAGAAATGAGAACATGGTTTATTTTCTAGTGAAAGCAAAAAGCGAAAAATACCACAGCTAAAAATTAACTTTACTTTGCAACTTGCAACAAAAACCACGAGACGAGAGATCAAATTTGATTTAAAAGAAAGGTTTACGTTTGTTATTTTAATGAAAACCGGATACGGGAAACACAAACAAATCCATAACCGTCCTTTTATTCCACATAAACTCGATATGCTCGATAATCACGTGACTAAAAAATCTACTAGCTCTACTCCGCTCCGTGAGGTACTTTTCAAACGTAGCATATACAGTGAGCATCATAAGTTTTAACCCCCCCCCCCCCCTATCTAACTCGTTACTGGAGTCTTGTTAGGAAAATCGCCGAGACACGTCGATTTTTGATTTCTACAATGTACATTTTTGTATGAATAGTTTACGCTTAATTTCATCCCTTACTGGAAGGGAGCAACCCTTTCGAAAAATTTAAATAGCACGAGGTGGTGAGTGATAGCTCATTTAAAAGGGGGTTTTATTCTCTATTCAATCGTGGAAAAAATTTTGAAATTTGCTTCATTAATTCTCGACTAATTATTGTTTCATAATAACGAAAATTAACGTGACGCACTCATCCTTAGAATTAAAATTCGGCCCTGCATGATATCGGTTTTGGTTCAGACGTGAAGTAAGACTGTTAGTTTAGTTGCTTTCCTGTTTGTGATGTTTTGTTATTTTTAAACATTAATAAATCAACACGTAATGAAGCAAATTTCAAAATTTTTTACACGGTTAAATAGAGAATAAAACCCCCTTTCAAATGAGCTATTACTCACCACCCCATACCATACCATCTTTTTGCGCAGTTTCTGGGATGTAACTTTCTCCTTATTTTCTTTCCGAAGAAAAATTTGACGTGGATTTGTTTTGAATGTGGCACTTATTACGCTATTTCTCGATGATTGTTTAGGTTTGGTACTCACAGTTTTTAGTGTCCTATTCTTCTTGATCACATTCACATTAAATTTAAGTTCATTGTCTAATGCTTTTTCACGAAGTCTTCTCAAGTGAGCTATATCGGTGCTTTCATTACGATTATCACTGTTTTTGGTATGGTCAGCCCCATCTGGCTCCGTCAGTAAAGAAGATAAAAACATAAATGGACTTTTTATTTAGCTTAACTTTTCATACATAAATCCAGGCCCACATTTAGAATTTTAATTCTATATATTTTTATTTTTATTTTTTTTTTGGTTTTTTTTTTGGTTTGTTTTTAAAGATAGAGTATGGTATTTCGTTTGCACTATTATATTTGCGATGATCCTTTCCACTTATAATAATATAATAATGAGTTTATTCAATACCAAAAAAAATATTTACATGTAAAATTACAATATTATGCTGAATAAACTACGACTAATCACAGAAGCGTCACCCCAGAAGAGGCTCAGCTTGTATTGTGATATACTTATTTAGTTAGTTCATACATTTGTATCCTTAATATTAATCTTAATTACTATAATAATTTCTATTATCATTCGAGAACTAAAAGATTACAATGAAATTTCAGAATTAAGTGAGTTGTCAAAATCAGGAATAGTTCATAATTATATGAGTTGTCATAATCGGGTGTATTGTCATAATCGGGTGTATTGTCATAATCGGGTGTATTGTCATATTCGGGTGTATTGTTATAATCGGGAATATTGTTCTAATCATGTTGTCGTAATTTTATGTAATGTAATTAGGTATAACGTCAAATTCAAGTCTATTATTTTATATTATATTATTTACCTATATTATATTATTTACACATTTTATATTATTTACATATTTGAATTTACAAACTTATGAAATATTGTTCTGTCACTTTCCCCTATCCATTTTTTAATTTTTTGTTTAAAGTGTTTGTATTGTTGTATATTTTTTAAAAAATCAGGAATTATTGAAAATATTCTAGGTGCTATATAGGAACAGCATTTTTGACCTGCAGTTTTTTCGCATCTTGGTGTAATATATGCTCTTCTCTTAATTCTCGTTTCGTACTTGTGAGAAATGGGTTATATTTTAATTTTTTTTTTGTTTAGTAAATAATAATATTTTTAAACAAAAAATCTGCCGAATATCTAATAGCCCCGATAATTTAAATAGGGAGTTTGTGGAGTAAGTACAACTTTTCCCATATATTATTTTTATTAACCATTTTTGAATCATGTCTACATTTTGTAGGTAAAAGTTACTTACTCCGCCCCATCCTATTATTCCATAACTCAACTGCGATTGAATTAATCCATAATAGAGCGTCTTTAGGTGAGCTTCAGTTAACAATTTTTTAAGGTATCTAAATTTCCCTAACATGCCTCTTAATTTTTGTACAACCGATTTAATATGAAGGTCCCATCTTAGATGTCTTTAAACATGACAAAATATAACTCCCTGTGTAATAATATAAATAGATAGCTTTTTAGAATATTACTTTACCTAGCAAATGGGAATAAGATCATTATAATCTGTCAAATGATCAAAAATTTTCTTGGGTGCTATGTCGGACTTACGTTCTTCGATCTACGATCCTCCCAATATTTTAGAATTTTAACACAAGTGACAATAACTTTAAAATATTACAATATGGTAAAGATTTACGACAGGCCATAACCCCATGTAATCCTTGCCTCCTCCTCTATAGATGAAACTAGTTATTTAATCAAAAATTAGATTCTCTTCAAAATTGAGAATTAGTATTCTGTAATCTTTTATATAGTTTTTGTAGTTCTCATACTATTTGTTTTCTTTAGAATGACACCTTATACATTCCCTCAGACGTTGCAATTTATGAAGATTTGAACAATTTGAACCTATATTTCAACTGGTCCTTAAGTAATGAGACAAAATATAGAATGTCGTTGAACCTGACGAAGACCAAATCAAAATATTACGAAATTGAAGGAGTAGAAGTGTATCGCTGGAAGGGTAAGTTTCACGTTCATAAATTTCATTGTCTAAATTTAAGTTGTCAGTGGCGTACAAACATTTTTAAATTATTAAATGGTATCACTTTTGGTTTTCTAATTCTTATTTCGGTTTTATGTATATATCAAAAAAAGAGAAATTTTGGTAAAAAAGACGTATTATAAATTTGATTTTAATCTAAAGGATTTATTTTTATCTCAATTGATAAAATAGCTTTCATTTTAGCCTTTTACACAAAAAAATGGGAACAAAAATAAATAAAAAAAATATAAAAATGAATAAAAAATAAATGAAAAAAAAAATTGGGTGAAAAGAAAATTTGGCAACATTATCATTTGTGAAAACATAAAATAGACACCTAAAAAAATTAAACTTAATGGCTTTTCCGGTAATACCAAAAATCAGCCATTTTCTTTAATTATACAGGGTGTCCCATTAGTGCGTAATTGTTATTATTTCAATTTGTGTTATAGACACGCAAACAAGTTATAAATAAAAGTTATATGAATTTAAAAACTACTTATTATAAAAATATTTTTTGGTGTTGCGATCTTGCATGGCGAATAAAAATTTATATTTTTTAAATTGACACTCTGGATTTTATTTCAATTTTAGATTGGTTTGATAATGCTATATGCAACCCTGGAATTTTTTTTCAAAATATTACAGGTTTGCCAAGCAATTATTTTTTTATGATATTAGAGAACGATGCAGTCCCCAAAATAAATTACCATAATTTTGGTAGGTCTACATTGATTTAAAACCTTATTAGTATACAGACTTATAAGATACTAAGCTAACGAACAGCGGTGATAGAACTGGTTTATTTTATACAGAGTGTTTTGAAACGTGTCCTAAATATGGCTAATATTATTTTTTTTTATTTGTTGTTTCGGCCTTTACTTGATGAAAATCCATTTTATCTTGAATGAGTAAAACCAAATAAGGTGGATTTTCACAAAAGTTTTGTGAAAATCTACCAAATTTGGTTTTACTCATTCAAGGCTAATTTTAAGTTCAATTTACTAAATTTTTTTCAAATGCCACTCCCTGTATATTATTTTAGCTTAAAATTCCTTATGAATTTACCTATTCAACGATACCAACGTGTTAGCCAATAACACATTTACAGTGCGTACGATCACTGCGTAATTATTGAT